CTTAATTTTCCATTGCTAGGTCACAAATAATTTAAACCACATCTCATAACCACCTCCAAAATTAAAAAGGATCCACTCAACTCCAGCTCTAAGACTAGATACTGAATGTTGGATAAAGCCTAAATTGACCCATGAACATGGCAGAGTCGATCACAAGTGTAATTTATGGATACGTTTCATAAGAGTTGAGTTTTCACCTAGATAAGGATCACACTATAAGACCAAAGTCTACTGAAACACTCTACAAGAGGATAAGCAATTTTGTAGTGATGTCGCATCAATTCTAAGGTATGTTATCTTCAAGACATGAGCGTAAGGCACCACTAGCCTAAATCTACACTAAACCTAATAAAAAGATATTCACGACCACGAAATTGTGAGAGATAGACACCTACAAGGTAAGGCATGATCATGTACAGGAATAATCATACACGAGTCCTTGAAAATAGGGAAAATGTCCTAAAGCGTCATTTCTAACAAAATAGTCATGATAAACTAAAAGAAACCCCCCCCCCCCCTTTAGAAATGCAATATGAATTTACAATAGTAAGCTCAATCTAAGGATCGGGAAGCCGAAGCCTACCTAAATGCAAACATCACGCGCTCCATAATCATGATTTTGAGCTTTTATTTTCTAAATGTCCTATGATTACTACCATGCTTTAAAAAGGGGAATATATGACCCACTTTGAGAATCATAATTTGGTTGTGTTAAAAGGTCTAATTTTAAAAGTTGATCTTCTGTTCAAAACAAGACATCATTCAATGCTTGGAAGAAAGCAAAAAAAAATATGCAATAATTCACAAAGAAAAACACCATCAAAGAACTAGGAAGTCCCCTTTGGGATGAAATATACCTCCAATTGATATCCCTAATAAATTCCTGAACTCTCCAATATGAAACTCCTCTTATTCCTTACCCATGGATCTTGAAATCACCCAAAATAGAGGTGTAAAGCTATGTAAAATTAACTTTGAACCTTAGAAATAGAATTTTATCATGTTTGATCTTAATTTAAACTCAATAGGCTCGTTGATTACAAATGTAAGCTTGTAAATTTCCTTCCCTCGCCTATTGATGCATCAATTGTTTTGGCTTTATATGATCTTTTATTGTGACTATCTATAGAGCACGAGCTTCTTGAGCCAAATGGGACTGATTGACGGAGTCAATTTTTAAATTCCTTTTGTGGATCGCACAATGACTTTTTGACTCATTTTTAGTCCCTCACCCCTAAATTATTGTAAATTTGGGTGTCAAAAATGCATATTGTCGTCATGGTCATTTATTTTTAATGTGACATTATTTATTTTAGTAGGTTAAATCTCTTTACTAGTAGATTTTAGAGTAGGTGCAATTGATATTGAGGTAGCTATGACTTACCAATCGTAAATTAAGTTTATGTTTGTACTTACATGTGTTTAGCTAGTTATTGAAAGTTTCTTAGCATGTCTGATATTTATTAGATATAAATCTTGTCTTAACCAACCTAGGGGGTAATTTCGAGGGAACTAAGCATGTTTATCTTGTTTATTCTGTTGTATCATGCAATGGTTTAGCTCTATGCTTTCGTGTATGGTTAATTATGACTTATTTTTGGACTTAGCCTAGGCATAAGCTAGTGATTACCTTAATTAGAGTTCTATGTTGAGCTTTTATGTCTTAAAAATCCTCTACTGTCGTTCCGGATGGTTATAACTTCTTGAAGTCAGGTGTAGCGAGCTTGAGTCTGGTAGCATAAATACTTAGATCAATCAGAACTCTCCTCTTACTAAATTTATCCATAACTTCCCTATGATGTGGCCCTGACGTGTTTGAGTTGTGATTTTAGGCCTTTTTTGTTACATTGGATCAGGACATTGATTTGTAGCTGGAGTGGGTCTCTTGTTATTTAGAAAGAGGTCTAGTTCTATGAAGTATTCCTACATTATGAATAATATGTGATTATGGAATTCTATAAAGTGTACTAGCCAAATTTAAGGTCCGGGCACACTTCTACTAGTCATTGTTTGAGGCTCGTGCACACTTTCACTTGCCGCAATTTGATGTTTGAGCACACTTATTGAAGCCACATTTTGAGTCTGAGCACACATTTATTAGTTGTATTGTACTCTTGATATGTTTGTTCAATTGGATTCTTTAGGGTGTATTCATCGTGGTTCAAGATTGGGGTCGTTTCAACTCTAGATTATACTTAGTCATAGACAGGGATACCATTATCTCATTTTTGCACTCATTCGGCTTGTTGGGTCCATTTGGGTTGTTTACCTTTAAATTCCACACATGTGTGCCTTCTGAGATTATAGGGTCAAGTTATGTTTTAGATAGCTACTTTACTTTACCGCTCCATTACATCTAGACTATTGAGCTGTACAGTTAAACTTATTGTTATTGTTACATTTATATGACATTTTTTACCTACCATATATTTCCTAGATTATATATTTTCGTTCCGAAATCAGTCAACCTATGATTCCTAGTGGTACATGTTTTTTTGTACTTATGCTGCACATTGTGTCTATTTTTTTCTACTGCAGATCCGAGCGTTAGCCGAAAACTTTAATTGATGTGCAACAGTGAGGATAAAATATAATCTTTTTTGAAGATATCACACAACAATTTCTCTTATAATGAGATAAATGAGGGAAAAATATTTTGGTTGAGAAATATAGGAAGAGTGAGAATGTATCAATGGGCGAGAAAAAATAATTAGGGAAAGAATCAATCTACCTTTGTAAGATTAATAGTAAATTAGGATCTGAGGAATTTATAGGAAGAGTGTTGAGTTTTTCAATGGGTTAGAAAATTTATTTGGAGAAAGAATCAATTTATTTATGAGATTCATATTAAACGAGGTGGAGAATAAGGAAACATTTGTTTTGTGATTTGAAAGGAAATATTAATGCTGGCATTATATCTTGTAATTTCTTTGTTCTACTTATTTTTTCTACATTTTATTTTCTTTAAAATATTTTTGATATTTTATTTTTTCTTATGCGCCTTTAATTAAGGTTAATATTTCTAGTACTAATTTAGAATATGAAGGCTAAACGCTGATATTAACATTTTCAATCTATATATAATATAAAGGTGGGTAAAAGAAAAGTGATGTGGCGTCTCTCTTTGACCAAGAATCCTATTTATCTTTTTATCCTTTCTTTTAGTAACTTTTCCTATTTATTTATTCGTTTCTTGTTATTATACAAATATAAACTTCTATATTACTACTCCTTCATTTATTCATTTCCTTAACATAAAAACTTAATTGTATTTATTTTCATCAATCTTATGACTTTTTTTTCCAGATCTCCTGACTTTTGAGTGTCATAACTTTACATATATTACGAGGGGTTTCTGAAAATTTCATAGCTAATAAAACTAATTTAATGAATGGGTGAACTTCAATTTTGTAAACTATGTAACATTAATGATGAATTTTTTTAATTAAAAATCTATCAAAAATATTAAGATCAAACTACATATATTTAGCTTTAATGTTCACGTTTATTTGATAGAAAGTGAACATACAAAGTTAAAAGAGACGGAAAATTAAGTTTAGAGTGAAATCACTTTTATGATTCAAGATTTCATGAAAATTAAAAATAAAGAGTAGAATCAAACGAGTTATATTTAAAATAATTCTATACAGAGCCTTCTAACTTTTAGTAGCTTTATGAAATAAATAAATAGGATTTTCTTATTAACATTAATTAAATAACTACTTTTAAATTTTATTTAAACTTTTGATCAAAAGAAAAAAAAATCAAAAGTCAAATAACACATTTAGGGGAATCAAACTTGGACAAACCAGGTTGCAAATGACATAGCTTGAGTAGAATGACCAAAACCACTAAGATAAGAAACTTTATTATTTTGTCAAGAGTGTCCAAAATGTGTTATTTAACCATATAAAATATCATTTTACTTATAAGTACATTGTAATTTTATGAAGAGGCTTTTCCCCAAATGGTAGATACGTCCTTTGTAAATTGAAAAAAAAAAACAATTAAGTTTATATTTGAAGAAATTATTAAATGAAGTAGTAGTAATTGACACATTTATTTTTGTATAATAATAAGCAATAATAAAAAAAATAGGAAAAATAATCAAAAAAGATGAAAATGTTATTTTTCTTCTTTATTTTTATCCTTTTTGTCGATAAAAACTTTTTTTTTCATTTATAGATGTAATCTATTAGTAGAATGATTTTTCGGTGAAATTACAAAGTACAATTGACAAATTAAATAAAGAAAATAAAATTTTATTATGGTTGGGCCAAATATCTCATTCTCTTTAAGAAGATTCACACCCACTATAACAAATGTTTTCACAAGTACAACAATCGTTATGTTCAGTGGTCCCCTTCATGATACAACAATCAATTCACAGAGTATAAATTGTGGACAAAGAATTGACTCCAAAGCTCCACACAAAAAAAACTCAGGTCAACTAATAAGAACTCTCATTGATTAACTTTTGTGCATTCTCTATTTTCTTGTACTCAAACTAAGGAAGGTCATCACTATTTATAGGTAATGAATTAATTCTTGCTTGCAATGAATATGAACATAATAGAGAATTAAATAAAAAAGATAATTGGCCTATAGGTTACATAAGTTAATAACGAGTGAAACACTGAAGTTTAAATTAATTAATTAATGGACATGACTTACCATATTCAATCACTGGACAAAAGGAAATTGAGCCAAGTTAGCATTAATAAGGAGTATAAGTAACAATAAAATACCCACAAATGGTAGGAAAGATCAGCCACTAAAACAGATGGGAAGGCACTATCTTTGTGCTCCAAAATAAGAAAATTTTTTGTCAATTATTAATATTAAAATGTTAAAGACCAATAATCACATCGCTCGTTTTAATATTTTATAAGTGAGTCTATATAACGACCAGTTTCTTCTTTATAGAAAAGCCAACAAGGAAAAATATTGGGTCAGAAAACTTTTTTGTAGTAACTTGAAATTTCCGAAGCAAGTCAAGATTTGGATGAAATTAGAGTCAATAACCTCTAGGTAATCTGGTAACAATTGGGTGATCTAATTAAGAATTTGATCACACCAGTAGATAGATAAGTCATTAAGGAACCGAACGACTTCACATAAATGAATTCAGGCGAGTAGAACTCCTAGAATTGATCTTAGCGTAAACGTTTTGTTTCTAAATGTCGTTGGTTGAAACTGTATTGTGAAATGGGGTCTTGAAATTATTAATTTTTCTCATTAGTTCCATAAAAGACTTTGAGGCGGGATTTCTACTGTTAGGGCTCGGGATGGGTACCGCCATGGCAGGGCAAACAGGACTTAAAGTCGTAAATAAACCACAAAAGTATTTTATTTTGCAATTTTAAAACTTGAGAGCTAAGGAACGAACACAGGGTTTTCTTGACTGTCTTTTATCATTCTTGATGCTAAAGGTAAAAGTTTAACTCCCGAATACATTTTTTGATCCGTAAAACGTCATCTAATCGGTAATTATCGACGGATAAAGGTTTTGATCTGGAAATAATGGTGAAGAAAGCCCTAATCTTGGTATGGGGATCATGGGTATGATATAGGGTTGATAGAATTGTTAGTTATTCAGGTTATTAGTTATTGTTTATTGAGTTTCGTATTATATTGATCTTTTGTAGACCAAGAACAAGTGTAAATAATCAAGAAAGTGAAGAGTTAAGTTTTTAGGGGATTCAAGCATGATCGGGGTAGGTGATGGTTGTGATTATATGAATGTGTGATGCATATTTGTTCTTGCTTCATTATTAAATGTATATATGTGAATGTTTCATTATTGATCACATTTATTATAAATGAGATAAATAAATGATGAATTCTATGGATCGTGATTTGATTATATGATCTCGAGAGTATACTTTTGATTGTGATTGTGTCTTGTTGAATTGATCGAGTGTTGCGTTCTGACACACTAACGTGGATTAGTTTCCATCTTCTAGCATAATTATGGAATCGATTGCCACATTCTGGTATAAAACATTGGATCTGGTACCACATCAGGGTATCCTAACAGTTTGGGTTTTGGTTGCACGAGAGGACCAATGATTTTTTATAATGGTGTATTTTGAGAAATGTGAAATTGTACGTTGTTCATAAATTTTGATGATATTATGTATATTCGTTGTACGCGTGTGATTGTTATGTTGTATTAACTTATATATGTCGCACTTAGAGGGGTGGTAGCGTGATCCTACTAGTACACTATTGTTGTGTACATATACTGCACTTGCTCTTTCTTTGTTCAGTAAAGGATATTTTCAAGCGGCTATTGACAGACCTCGTTTAGAAGATCAGTGATCGTCTATCAAATTCAAGAGTGAGCCAATTCTTCTTTCCTGCCATGAGATCTTCTTCTTTTTATGTCCACATTTCAGACTTAGAATTTTCTAATTATATATAGTGTTATTAGCTTTGGGTTAAGACCCTTCTTGTTAGTCTTATGGATCTTGTAAGAAGTTTTGGTACATTTATTTCAAGTTCTAGGCGTATTATTTCTTCATTGCTTAGTTCTTAGATCTTTTGGAAGCATATGAAAACTTCAGTTTTTAGTTACTTAAATTGCTTTCGTAATTCAAATGGTTTGGTATTTGGATTAATTTGGTTAGCTAATTAGTATAAATGGTTCTCCCATATGAGGGTTAGTGTCGGTGTCAATCACAAAGGTCTGGGTTGTGAATAACTTGGTATCAGAGCCTAGATTCGTTGATCTTGATGTACCAAAGAAATTCTAGTCGAGTCTTGCGAAACGGTGTAGAGACACCTTTACTTTTCTTCGAGAGACTATCGGGCTTTAGGAAATCTCCGTGTTTTCTCCTGTCTCCTTTGTGCTATAAATTGATTCCAATTGGTATCTATCTATTCGAATTGGTATCAAACCTCTTTCGCTTTTCTTTCCATGAAAGGTTAACACTATATTCATTGCGCGTCTAACTTGTAGCTCCCCTCAATTATCTAGCTAAGGAATCTACAGTGAGAGGTCGCAGTCGAGACAATGGTAGATAAAGAGATAAGGGTAGATATTGAGGAAGAATAACGCCTAATAGAGATGCGGTAATTATTGAAAGTGCTCCCCAAAACGAGGTCACACCCGTACATCATGAAGAGATAGAGGAAAATGTTAAGGTTAAAAATATTGAGGAGGTCGGACAAGAGGAAGAGGTACAGGCTGAGACAACATGCAATCTTTCATTGACCCATTGTTAGCTTAACAGATCATGTCATACCTAAAAGGGTTAGTTTGTACTAGAGTGTTACCTTCTGTTCAAGCAACTCAAACTCCTACCAATTCTCCTATGGCTATCACCTTTCTTAAGGCAGGTGGAATTAGAGGTAATGATGCTTTCTTTTGCCCTCTGTTGGGTCCTATTATGACTGGTAATGAACATGAGATGTTGACCAAGTTGTTGAAGTTGAAAACTGCCTATGTTCCATGGTTTTGAGAGTGGAGAAACATATGAGTTCATCCTAGATTGTTATGAGAGGATTCATAAGTTGGGAATTGTACATCAGCATGGGATTTGGTTCGTGACTTTTCAACTTCAATGATAAGGTTAGTAGTGCTGGAGATCTTATATAGAATGCAGATATTCAATTTTACTTCACTTACTTGGACCAGATTTCATGCTCTATTTTTGGAGAAATATATGCCTAGAACTTTTAGGGATAGTAAGAAGGACGAATTCCTGGCTTTTGAGGAACGTGGTATGACTATGGCTGCTTATGAGGCTAAGTTCCATGCTTTGTCTAGATATTCTACTCAATTGGTGAATCTTGAGGATGAGAGAATTTTTTTTATTTATTAAGCGATTAAATTCTCAATTGCAGGTATTATCTATTGATATTACCTATTAAGGAAAGAGCTTTAATAATGTAACTTTGCTAAGAAAGTGGAAGGGGTGACGCGAGACGGTCAGGTTAAGGCATTAGAAAAAAGGGATAAAAACTTTGTAACTTACAAGGTTTATACTCCAAAGGGGCAGGGAGGCCAACACTTGTAGCTAGACCAATTCAGTCAACCATGCCCCGCCTATACAATCAACTACTCGGGAACTCTACCTCATAATTTGATATAGGACAAATAGGGAGTCTCACCTTTGACAGGAGGCTCACCATCATTTCATCGTACGTTCTAAGATTATGGACAACCTGGGATATACGGAGAGATTATCCCAACCCACGTGTGTTGGATTAGGTGCAGAAATGGACTAGAATAGTGGTACCCGCAAGAATTGGTATTAATAGTCAAGAAAGTCCACATGGTCGGCGAGGAGAAATCAGAGAGGCTACGGAGGTAGAGGAAATGGTAACACAGGCAGGGGTAATGTGAAACTAGCCAGGAAAGTGACAAGACATGAAGGTATGGTTGAGTGTTATGCTTTTTCGGGAAAAGATGAGGCAGAGGAGCCTGACGCAGTGATCAGAGGTATTATTCTTGTCTGTGACCGGCTGGCTAATGTGTTATTTGATCTGTGTTCTAATTATTCTTATGTATCTGTGCGATTTTCCTCAAAGTTTGACATGATTTGTGATATACTTTATGCCCCTATACATGTTTCTACCCCAGTTGGAAAGTCTTTCATAGTCACACATGTCTATCGTGCTTGTCCTATTTTGTTTATGGGTTAGCAAACTTGGGCTGATTTAGTTATTTTTCATATAATTGAGAGTGATATAGTCTAAGGCATGACTTGGTTATCCTGCTAATATGTTAAGCTTAACAGTAATACTAAGTATGTAACTCTAGAAATTTAGGGAAGAGAAAAATTATAGGTGGGAAAGGGTGTACAAGCCTAAGCATGCAAATATCATATCCTCAATTTGGGTTATAAAATTGGTAGTGAAGGTTTTTTTTTTTGATAATTTGGCTCATATCCCAGAAGTTGAGGTTGAGTCTCTATCTATTGAATTCATCACACTGGTGTCAAAATTTAGAGAAATGTTTCCTACAGATTTGCCTGGTATGCCATTGGATAGGCATATAGATTTTTGCATTGATTTAGAGTCTGGTACTCGTCCTATTTACATCCCTCCATATCGCATGGACCCAATGGAATCACGAGATCTTAAGGCTCAAATCCAAGGTCTTCTTTATGAAGGATTTATTCATCCTAGCACTTCTCCATGGGGTGCTCCATTCTTGTTTGTTAAGAAAAAAATGGTAGTATAAGAATGTGTATCGCTTTCCGGCAATTGAATAGGGTCGCTATTTGAAACAAATACCCTTTGCCTCGTACAAAAGATCTTTTTAACCAATTTCAAGGTGCATTAATTTTCTCCAAGATTGATCTAAAGTCCAGCTATCATCAGTTAGTATTTGCATTGGTTTTATCATATCTGTGGTTAAATCGATCTTTATGACTTGTATAATTGGTTTTATCTCATCAAATAATATCTCTGCTGGTGCGGAATAAAACTTTATATAAAATAATGTTCCTTTAGAAATTCTTTTATAGTTCATAAAGGCTTTGTATAGCTCTGGTATTGTAGATATTTCATCTCCTGTTTGGGTATAAACTGTACTAAGCAATCCATAACTATAACATGTTTTTACTAGATTTGCATTAGTACCTGGTTGTGCTATTAACTTATTATATCCTTGTAGCTTTTGGGTTATAAAATCAGTATTAGGGTCTTTGGTAGTTGGAGATTTCGGTGTTGAGTTTAAATAATTTTGAATTTTATAAAGGTTCTCAATATATGAGCGGGTTATGTGGTTGTAGGCTTTTTTTTTATCTTGGCTTAAACTTTCTGAGTAAGTAGTTATTTGTGGTGGTATAAATAATGAGTTTTTTTGGTTCTTTGGAATAAATGATTTATCGAAGATTTTGTTTATATTTGAATTTAAATATCTTATTTCACTGACTCCTTTTGTTGTAGATGTGCTGGTTGTAGCTGCATTTAAACAAACATTGTCATGGATTTTATGGAGTTTTCCAACGTCTCCTTGTAGCTCTGAAATTTTTCTGTCTTCCGATCGACATAGCTCCGCATTTTTATAGTCATGCTGCTGACTTATATTTTTCATCTTTTGTAATTCTTTATCCATACTGTCCACTTTCGTAGAAAGTGTAGTAATGGCTTTGAGTATTTCTCCCATTGTATATTTTTCTGGTTCAGTTTGGGTTCCTTTTTCTTGATAGGTAGTCTGCAACAAGATTCTTGTCAGTCTTAATTACTTCAATTGTAAATGTAAAATTTAATATATTCAATACTAATCTCCTTATTTATTTTGTTGTAACTGAATCTTCTACCTTTTTTGTTATCCACCATTTTACCTGTGTATTATCTGTTCTTACAATAAATTTATTGTAAACAATACATAGTTCAAATGCTAATAAACATTTATATAATGCAAATAACTCTTTTCTATTTATTTCCCATTTTATTTGTGCTTCTGCATAAGATCCTGAATAATATCTACAATTGTGTTCTATTTTTTCCTTTTCATATTTGTATTTATAACTCCTCCATAACTATGATCACTTGAATCTGTTTCAACAATATAAGTAAATGTTTTATTTTCATCAGGAAAGTAAAGTTTTGGTAATTTCTTACATAAATTCTTAATATTTCTTATATGTTCTTTATCTTTATTGTCGAAATAGTATTCTACATCTTTTTTAAGTTTTTTGTGTAATGGTTTTAAATGCTCTGCTACTTTTGGTATATATTCTCTTACTTGATTTACTAATCCTAGAAAGGATTGTAATTTCTTTTTTGTATCTATATTTTCATCAAAGGTGATTATTTTTTGTACTATATGGTTTTGCATTTTTATTCCATTCCTATCTATTTGTATTCATAGAAATTCTATCTGTGGTTTCATAATTTTTGCTTTCTATTTACTTACACTTATACCTGAATGTTTAATTATATGTATAAATTTTTCTAATAATCTTATATGTTCATCTTGTGTTTTAGAATATAATAATATATCATCTATATATACAATACAATTTTCTAACTGGTTAAAATAGTTATCCATAAAATGTTGATATCTACCTGGTGCATTCTTATATCCAAACGGTAATACATTCCATTCATAGAAACCTTGCGGTACTGTGAATGTTGTTAGCTGTTTAGATTCTTCTTCTAGCTTTAGGTGATAAAATCCTGATTTATAATCGAATTTACTGAAATAATTATATCCTTGTATTTGTCTTAATTTTAGTATTTTATTTGATATTGGGTAGTTATATGTTTTAGTTGTAGCATTTAAGTTGCGATAATCTATAACCATTCTGCTTTTACCTCTTTTTTGTTCACTATGTTTTATAACTATAAATGTTGGACTTGTATGTTTACTATTGCTTTCTT